TCCGCCATCTTTGTTCGTAGGCTGTGATTAACGCGATTAAAAAAGTTTATACAACAAGAAAATTCCAGCACTTTCGCATCTGTTTCAATGACCATTTTTTATTTCTAATAATATTCAACTGATTTGTTGTATATCGCTACATAAAATATTTTTCCAAAGAATGTTCCCCCTAAGAATGGGGACTGACGGCTGAGTGGACAGCGCTCTGGGTTTGTAGTCCCAAGGGTATGGGTTCGATCCCCGGCGGAAGGCGGAAACAAATGGGCCGAGTTTCTTTCACCCTGATGCCCCTGTTATCTAGCAGTAAATAGGTACTATGCAGGGAGTTAGGCAATTGAAATGCTTTACCTGAATAAACATTTAAATTTGAACTGCTACGGGCTGCTTCCTGGGGTTCTGTGTGTGAGTGCGTGTGTGAAAATTAGGATTAAGGACTTGCCCGAAACGCTATGCACGCTAGTGGCTGTACAAGAATGTAAGAACTCTTATATATATATATATATGTGTTCTAAAGTTGTATACTTAACTCTCGTGTTTAGGAGAGTTGTGCCTTAAGCAGAGACACTGTGTCTTCCCATATTAACAGGGACTTGATGAAATTAACGTCTAAATAACCCCTCACTTGCTCTGGTGCTCTTGGGAGGTGTTGATCTTTGGGGGATTTAAATACTCCGAAATTACCATCTCTTTTAAGGGTCTGAGCGGTGGTGCAGAGGGTTAAGGCGTACCTGTTATGCCAGTTGCTGGAAGGCTTCTGTGCTGGCTAGGGTTCGAGTCTCCTGGTGGGAAAGTGTTCTAAAGTTGTATACTTAACTCTCGTGTTTAGGAGAGTTGTGCCTTAAGCAGAGACACTGTGTCTTCCCATATTAACAGGGACTTGATGAAATTAACGTCTAAATAACCCCTCACTTGCTCTGGTGCTCTTGGGAGGTGTTGATCTTTGGGGGATTTAAATACTCCGAAATTACCATCTCTTTTAAGGGTCTGAGCGGTGGTGCAGAGGGTTAAGGCGTACCTGTTATGCCAGTTGCTGGAAGGCTTCTGTGCTGGCTAGGGTTCGAGTCTCCTGGTGGGAAAGTGTTCTAAAGTTGTATACTTAACTCTCGTGTTTAGGAGAGTTGTGCCTTAAGCAGAGACACTGTGTCTTCCCATATTAACAGGGACTTGATGAAATTAACGTCTAAATAACCCCTCACTTGCTCTGGTGCTCTTGGGAGGTGTTGATCTTTGGGGGATTTAAATACTCCGAAATTACCATCTCTTTTAAGGGTCTGAGCGGTGGTGCAGAGGGTTAAGGCGTACCTGTTATGCCAGTTGCTGGAAGGCTTCTGTGCTGGCTAGGGTTCGAGTTCCTGGTGGGAAAGTGTTCTAAAGTTTATATATATATATATATATATACATATATATATATATATATATATATGTCGTACCTAGTAGCCAGAACTCACTTCTCAGCCTACTATTCAAGGCCCGATTTGCCTAATAAGCCAAGTTTTCCTGAATTAATATATTTACTATAATTTTTTTCTTATGAAATGATAAAGCAACCCTTTTCTCTATGTATGAGGTCAATTTTTTTTATTTGAGTTAAAATTAACGTAGATATATGACCGAACCTAACCAGCCGTACCTAACCTAACCTAACCTATATTTATAGGTAAGGTTAGGTTAGGTAGCCAAAAAAAGCTAGGTTAGGTTAGGTTAGGTAGGTTAGGTAGACGAAAAAACATTAATTCATGAAAACTTGGCTTATTAGGCAAATCGGGCCTTGAATAGTAGGCTGAGAAGTGCGTTCTGGCTATTAGGTACGACATTATATATATATATATATATATATATATATATATATATATATATATATATATATATATATATATATATATATATATATATATATATATATATATATATAAACCTACTTAAAATTATCTGTTAGATTAAGGACCTGCCCGAAACGCTTCGCGTACTAGTGGCTTTACAAGAGTGTAATTACTGTACTATGCTATGTATTCTCACAAACCCAATGTACCTTCTTGTATATAAATAAATAAATAAATAAATAAAAATCATTGTTACCAACCTTGGTTTGGCTGCAGAACAGTCATTTGTCTTGAGCTAGACATCACGTGTGTCTGGGGAGTGTTGGCACCGCTGGAGCCTAATTTTAGCTTTTCCTGCATGTGTCTAAACTCTTCATAAATTTACCAAAACAGGTTGTACGTATAATTTTCGACAATTCAGTAAAAGAAAAAAAACTAGTTATTACGTGATTATCCTTCCAAATTATATTACAAAACGGATAAATATCCATTTTGTGATTCTTTTGATAAGAAAAGTATCTGAAACTTAATTACCCGTCCTGAAGTATAAACATGAAGTGCTTTTTAATCTTGAGGAATTCCAGCAGCTGTCGTAATTCAGCGGCTGTTTTGGTCGTTTATATAATTTTTTTTATCCTCTCAAGGTTGAGGGCAAGAGAGAAGTGATAAGTAGACTGTCTGGGCGTTATGCAGTGGTGAAGAAACTGGTGTTGTCATGCGAGAGTGTGCCCGCGCTCTTGCACGGAGTGCTTTATCTACTGGTATCAGCATACCTGGTAGGCTGGTACCAGTCTACCTGTAGTTCTTGTCTACTAGTGCCTATGGGGATAGAGGTCTGGCCCTTTATGCCCCGTTTATTAGCCTTGTTATACTTTTTTTTGAGATATATACAAGAGTTGTTACATTCTTGTAGAGCCACTAGTACGCGTAGCGTTTCGGGCAAGTCCTTAATCCTATGGTCCCTGGAATACGATCCCCGCCGCGAAGAATCGTTGTTACAACCAAGTACACATTTTACTGTTGCGTTAAACAGAGGCTACAGTTAAGGATTTGCGCCCAGTAAATCCTCCCCGGCCAGGATACGAACCCATGACAAAGCGCTCGCGGAATGCCAGGCGAGTGTCTTACCACTACACCACGGAGACTTCTAGGTTCAGGAACCAGGCTATATGTAATCGACTTGAGAATGGTCCAGGACGGACCGAAACGTCGTCGTCCCTTCACTTTCTAGTGTGTGGTCTGGTCAATATATGTATTATTCATGCTTCACGAATAAAATTTATTAGTTCCCCCAAACTTGCAGTTGTATTGACCATTTTCTATGATAACAACACTCAACGCTAATTTCAATTTCCCTTTAATGTACAAACTGCTAATATTCTACCGGTTATAGATGTAATACAGTTCTCCCGGTAATATTTGTTAGTGTAGCAAAATTTATCTTATGTTATTACTCGTTCCATAAAGTTATTATTAGCCCATTTTATGTAAAAGTTCCTCCTGAACTTGCTATCAGCGTTCCATTTTCTATCCTCAATTCTCGACCACTGTCTTAACATTTTCTATAACAATTAACCTGGCAAACTACTGGAAAAATCGTTTATAATAATAATAATAATAATAATATTTTATTTAGGTAAGGTACATACATACAATAAATTTTTACAAAGATTGGTTGACTTATAGGTAGAGCTAGTACATACAATGCCTAAAGCCTTCGGGCATGATAAACTTAAATGACAAGCTTAATACTAATTGAGCATAATGAGTAGATGAAAACAAGAAATGAAAACAGATGAAAAAGCAGCACAAATACAATTATGTCGACAAACAGCGCTCTTTAAAGAAAAACAGACATTGGTTGACAATAGAAGGGTAAGGTAGGTTACAGGGAATTTATTAGGTATAGCTTCGTTTTTAACTTAAACTGGTTGAGAGAGGTACAGTCTTTAACATGGTCGGGAAGGTCATTCCACATTCTGGGCCCCTTGATTTGTAGAGCATTTCTAGTTTGATTAAGTCGTACTCTAGGAATATCAAAACTGTATTTATTTCTGGTGTGGTGCTCATGGGTTCTGTTACAACCTTCTATGAAGCTTTTGAGATCAGTATTGGCATTATAGTTTAGCGTTTTATATATGTATAATACACATGAGAGAATGTGCAGAGACTTAATGTCTAACATATTCAGAGATTTGAGTAGGGGTACCGAGTGATGTCTGGGGCCAGAGTTGGATATTGTCCTAATAGCAGCTTTGTGTTGAGTAATTAGAGGACGTAAGTGATTTTGGGTAGTAGTAGTTTAATATTTCTGTTTCAGATATACTGCCATTTACCAATAATTTAGTTTGTATATCTAGCAAAACCTATTTAAATAAATATTACAAATAACCCAATTATATAAAATTCCTCAAGGTTTATCACTTTCTATGAGGTATCTGGAAAATGTCAAGGACCTCCTATATTATCTCAACTCGAAATCGACCACAATTTTACCTCGTCTGCCTAGAAACCGGCAACCACTCGAACTTGGGCTGGACGGTAGAGCAACAGTCTCGCTTAATGCAGGTCGGAGTTCTATTCCCGACCGTCCAAGTGGTTGGGCACCATTCCCTCCCCTTGTCCCATCCCAAATCCTTATCCTGGTCTCTTCACAGAGCTATATAGTTGTAATGGCTTGGCGCTTTTCCACGATAGTTTCACTCCATTCGCCCATTTTCAGTACTGAAGTTAATCCCTTGCCAACTTCTCATGTTCTGTAATCACTACACTGTAATCACATTCACTGTAATCTGTAATCACTACACTGTAATACAAGGGGGCCTGGTAGCCTGGTGGATAGTGCGCAGGACTCTTAATTCTGTGGCGTGGGTTCTATTCCCGCACCAGGCAGAAACAAATGGGCAAACTTTCTTTCACTACTGAATGCCCCTGTTACCTAGCAGTTTGATTGATTGACAGTTGAGAGGCGGGCCAAAAGAGCAAAGCTCAACCCCCGCAAACACTACTAGGTGAATACATTCGTATGAACAAATCCACAAGGGCCTTGACGAGGATTCGAACCTACGTCCGAGAATCGAACCTAAGGCCCTTGTGGATTTGATCATTTGATACATACGCTATTGTGGTTTCTGCGTGTAAGCGAATCGAAGGCTCCATTGTTCCGTACTTGCAGAACCCGTTCACGAATGTTGTGTACGACACGAGGAACATCGTGTGTGTGGGCGTGTCCGTGATGGTCGAGGACCGCCAGGACCAGCCACCCATCTTTCTTTTTGCTCCGCCTGTCACCCGCATCACCAGTAAAACGCGGAAGGTAACTAATAATGATAATAATGTCATTCCAAATGTCGCATTCCTATAAATATTGTTTAGGGTGATCTGCTTGGCATTTCTAGGAAGATTGTTAGTGATCTCATCGCATTTTTCGTTGGATTCTAACAATGTGAATATAGTTTAGTTATGCACCCCAAATATTCCTATCCTGTGAACGATACTGGAGAATGTTTAGAGGTAATTGGCTCGGCAACTGAATCCTAAAATTAGTTTAGTTCACCAAGTTAGAGCACTTAGACAAAAATACAAGTCACAGCTTCGTATCATCCTTTGCAGATGACACAAAAATCAGTATGAAAATTACCTCGGCTGAGGACATTGAAAAACTTCAAGCTGATATTAATAAAGTTTTCGACTGGGCATCAGAAAATAACATGATGTTTAACAGCGATAAATTCCAGGTACTCAGGTACGGTAAAAATGAGGACCTTAAACATAATACAGAGTACAAAACACAATCAAATGTACCCATAGTAGGAAAACAGCATGTAAAGGATTTGGGAATAATAATGTCTGACGACCTAACGTTTAAGGAGCATAACCAAGCAAATATTGCGACAGCCAGAAAAATGATAGGATGGATTACGAGAACTTTCAAATCCAGGGATCCCATCACAATGGTTGTACTCTTCAAGTCACTTGTGTTGTCCCGTCTTGAGTACTGCTCAGTACTCACTTCCCCCTTCAGAGCAGGAGAGATTGCTGAAATAGAGGGAATACAGAGAACATATACGGCACGCATAGACGCAATAAAGCACCTAAATTATTGGGATCGTCTCAAAGCCCTCCAAATGTACTCACTAGAAAGAAGACGAGAGAGATATCAAATAATATACACCTGGAAGATACTAGAGGGCCAAGTACCAAATCTACACAGTAAAATAACAACGTACTGGAGTGAACGATATGGAAGAAAATGTAGAATAGAACCAGTGAAGAACAGAGGTGCCATAGGCACAATCAGAGAACACTGTATAAACATCAGAGGTCCGCGGTTGTTCAACGTCCTCCCAGCAAGCATAAGAAATATTGCCGGAACAACCGTGGACATTTTCAAGAGGAAACTAGATTTATTCCTCAAAGGAGTGCCGGACCAACCGGGCTGTGGTGGGTATGTGGGCCTGTGGGCCGCTCCAAGCAACAGCCTGGTGGACCAAACTCTCACAAGTCAAGCCTGGCCTCGGGCCGGGCTTGGGGAGTAGAACTCCCAGAACCCCATCAACCAGGTAACCAGGTATCACTGATGAGGACTTTACAATTTACTATGTGCATCAACAGGCAATTTAGAGTTTATCATACAATAACGTGAGGCTGTCATAAGCGGCCCTAATACAATGGGTTTGTTAGTTAGTTTAGATTACATGAGCCCCATACAGTGGGTCCTGTAGCTGTGGCCTACATCCTTGGCTCACTACCTGCATCTGGTGCCTCTCTTCACTCAGCAGTAAAATAGGTCCTCGGGAGTTAGGTGACTGTTGTGTGGTTGCATCCTGGGGAGGGTCAGGAGTTGATCTGGGGGATTGGCCATGGGTAAACCTAAGTGAAGGCTTCCTGTGCTTAGGCTTACCCACGGATGGTTCAGTGTAGTGGTGGGTCAGGTCAGGAAGGTCAGTAGTTGGACCTAAATTAACCTAACAAGCTTCCCATCCTTGACATTATGAATCAAAATATGTAACTCTGTTACCCACCATAAAATAATGTTTCCTCAGTAGGCCAATAACCATCACCTAATTCATATCCAGACTCTTAACTAATCACAATTGAGGTTATATATACAGGTATATATACTGTGCAGTGCACTTCTCCCACCCTTCCTTCCTTCCTTCTCCCTATACCTGAGACTAACCTTCTGCCTCTCACCAGGATGATGAGCTGGTGAAGATCAATGCTGAGGATGGAGATCGTGGCATCCCTCGTGAGTTACGGTACTCCATGCAGGCAGCCTCCACACAGTATGCTCCGTTTTTTGCTATCGATCCCAAGAGTGGTGAGTACTGCCCCTTTCCCCCCTTTTTTCTCTTGCCTTCCTCCTCTCTCCAATTTGCCCTTTTCTTTCCTGCCTACCTTTCTTTCATTCCCTCCTGCTAGAGTACTGTCTGAACATCAGAGATCCATGGCTGTTCAATATCCTCCCAGCAAGCCTTAAAAATATTGCTGGAACAAAGGGCAAGTCTTCAAAGAGCATTTAGAAAAGTTTTACAATCCCCATGACGCAGTGATAAAACACTCGTCCGGCGCATCGCAAGCGACTTGGCCTGGGTTCGTATCCTGGCCGGAGAGGATTCATTAGGTGTCAATCCTTAGCTGTAAGCCTCTGTTCATCCAGCAGTGAATGGGTACCTGGTTGTTAAATGATTTGGCGAGACATATTCCAGGGAAAATTTGGATTAAAGACCTGCCCAAAATGCTGTGTGTGCTAGTGGCTTCACAAGAATGCAAGAACTCTTGTGTATCTAAATGAAATAAAAAAAAAATAAAAAAAAATGCAGGACCAATCAAGTTGTAGCAGATATATGGGCTTCTGGGGCCAGGCTTTGGGAGTAGAACAACTGCTTCAACCCTCTCCAGGTATTCCCCTTCGTTCCCTCTAGGTATTCCATATGTTCCCTGCAAGTATGCTCCTTCATTTCCTGTGGGTATGCTCCTTTGTTCCCTCCTGTAAGGCCCTTTCTTCCTCCCTTCTGCAAGCCCTACCCACAACACCTCCCAGGGTCTGTTGATCAGGAAGGACAGTACAAAGCTCTCAATCCTTATCTATGAGAGATTAAGTTACTATACAACAGAAACCAAAACAATGGGAGGGCATATGATGATAGTGGTGATACTATGTTATCCTCCATATTAGTAATTTGTGCAATCCATGTCAATATTACTACTGTATTTTATACACAATAAAAATTAACATTTGTGTACAAATTCTCTCCTTTCCCTGCAGGTTCCATCACCCTGCAGAACACAGTGACGCGGCTGATGGAAACAATGACAACTTTGGAGCCCATCCTGGTGACAGTGACGGCAGTGGAGATGGAGGACGAGAAGACCCGAGCTCCTCTCGAGACTTACAGCTCCTCTGTCGAGGTCGCCTTTGTCGTCATGGATAACGAAATGATGATCCCACAGTTTGTTTATGAGCAGTAAGTAAAATGATGCTATTGTCTTTGTTAGTGCATTCTTTCTTCAAGCTTTTAGGATATGTAGCCAACAATTCCTTGAAGATGAGTTCACATATTTCACAGATTGCCTACCACACACCCCCAACATTACAAAGACACTATATCCTTCATAGGGGAGTGTATTACACTAGCAACTGTAAAGTCATCGATACTAGCGCTAACAAAACAGAATGATTACTCATCCTCCAGACAAGATAAATTCCAAACAACATGACCAACTTCTGATATAAAGCAAATACCGTACAGTACTGTATTAGTAGTTGACAAAATTTCAATATCACTCAAAACCATCACCAGAAGCATAATTAGCAACAAGGTCACATAGTCTTGTATTAGTTGTGACAGCTTATGGAAGTGAAATGTCCCAAACTCAGGTGTGCAGATTTATGAAAACAATTTTCGACACCCTTTCCTCATTACTGTGCTAGCTTTAAATAGCTTGCAATCAAATTTGAATGTGCTTATTTTCAAAGCCAGACATACATTCATGCATTCTTATTAAAAGGTTCAGAGTTAACTTCTTGTGGATCTCTTTACATTGGGCTGTAAAAACATGATCAAGATTGGCAAGGGTGTCAAATTTAAGTAAATAAAGGCAGTGTTGAATCAAATCTTTGACTATCAAATAGAATCCTAGAAAGTATCATGAGATAAGAACAACTAGATATATTTGAAGAAAGCAGAATGTAAACAAGAACTAGCAGATTTTGTTTATATCAATGAGTTGTCAAACAAAACACTTGTATGGACTAGAAACAACATAAGCATGTGTGTTTTTTTCCTCAGGTATGTTGGCGAGGTACGAGAAAACAGCCCACCTGATACCATCGTTTCCTTCCCCAATCCCTTCTTAAAGAGGGTGAGTCCTTTTTCCATCCCTTCCTGAAGAGTAAATTTTCCCCCAACTCCTTCCTCAAAAAGTGCAATCTAGATGTAACTTATGTTAAATATTGTTGCAATCTAGGTATAATATAGTTACAGTAGTTGTAATTTGGGTGCTATTGAGGTATATTCTGAATACAATCTGGTCATAATACATGTATAATAGTTGCAATCTGTGCACAATGGAAAACCTGTGCAAACATTTGGTTTATAAGTAAAAACTTATCAATTATCCAGCTGAGTTGTCATTACACTGGATGACAAATCCCTCTTCCCCATCTTCCACTCAAACCAATCCAGCATAAAGCTACCCGCCAGTATTTAGATCAGCCGTGTCAGAGTGTACATAAACAGTTCCAATCCTCTGCAGGGATTGAAGGGCATGTTTGCCATGACCATAGAGGGGGATGATGGTATCTTCACTGTGGAGCCCAACATCGTTCGAGACTCTTCAGACTTCATCATCAAGGTCAAGCTCACAAACCTTTTGGATTTCGAAACCCGACCCAGGATTGAGTTTAAGGTACCGTTTCCTGTAGTACAGTAATCTGATATCGATTCATTACTAAAACTCATCAATCAATGTTTGCTCTACATATGCCACCCGATAAGTCATTATATGCCAGCTGATAACCATTCTTTAACACCATCCAATTCCTCATTGAATTATACTAGGTATATGCTCGGCAAGTGTCTGGATCAGGGCAGGCATCGAGCAGCACGCAGGTGAGGATCAATGTGCTGGACCTGAATGACAACGTGCCTGTGTTCAACAAGCAAGTGTACCAGGCACAGATCTATGAGAACATTACTGCTGGCACTTCCATTGTCAGGGTGAGAAGATTGTTAATCTTGCTGGTGGAAGTCTTGGAGCTATTCCTTTAGCCAAAAAATATTATAACTTGATAATAATAGTTTATATATTTGTATATACTGGAGAGGGGGGGGTATGAAACATTTTTCACCTATGTTTGAGCCATTAGCATGTACAATTTATACATTTAACTATGAATGTTAAATGTTGTATTTAGCATTTTTATGAATTTGTAAACATTTCTCTCATAAAACATTTAGCAAATTCATAAAGTTTATATAAAATTCCAGTGAGACATTTATTGAATTACAGTACAGTTTATGTATAATATTAATACAATTGAAAAACAATGAAATTCCTTAGGCTTTAACTCTTGCAGTTGAAAATTCAAAACCATGTAATCTTACAAGCTTAACACAACTTGCAGGTCAGAGCAACGGATGCAGACAACGGAGATTTTGGTGCCATCAGGTACACACAGCTGAGTGGTAAGCTGGCGGATAAGCTCCAGTTGGACGAATTGACCGGCCTAATCTCGTGTGCCACTAACACCCAAGATTTTGATCGAGAGCTGAATCCAGGTACGTGTGTGTGTGTGTTTTGTTTTGGTTATGGCATATATATACTTAAAGAGCACAGCCACTTTTCCACAGTAAACTACATTAGTGAAGGTTTAGCTTAGTGATTGACTGCATGTACGTCTATATAGATGTAGCCCTTTAGAAGTACCTGTACTTTAATTTTCCTACTTCCCACAAGGAAATATCTTTTTCTTATTATGTACTTTTGTTGGTAGGTATCTAATGCCTACCTATAGTGCCTACATCCCTACCTACTTACACCCTACTTACTTACACAACAAGTAACAGATTTAGTCTAATTTAGTCTATTTACACTAAACAGAGCATAGCACAGCATAGCATAGCACAGAACAGCATAGCACAGAACAGCATAGCACAGAACAGAGCATAGCATAGCACAGAACAGAGCATAGCACAGCACAGCATAGCACATAACAGAGCATAGCATAGCACAGAACAGAGCATAGCACAGCATAGCATAGCACAGAACAGAGCATAGCACAGCATAGCACAGCACAGCATAGCACATAACAGAGCATAGCATAGCACAGAACAGAGCATAAGACAGCATAGCACAGAGCACAGCATAGCATAGCACAGAACAGAGCATAGAAACATAGAGCAGCACCGATGAAGTTCCACAAAAGTATCCTGTACACACGTTTCAGTTTGATAACTAAATCACTTTCTCATTTCAGAGATCCATCTAACAGTGGAAGCCGCAGACAATAATGGCTTGGGCAATAAAGCCATAGCAAGGGTGATTCTTCAATTGATAGATGTCAATGACAAGACTCCCAGATTTCTCAAGCCCATTTACAAAGGAGTCATGAAGCCAGATCAGACTGGCCTCAAGGCACCATTGCAGGTTGAGGTGAGTAGTATGATGACAGTAGTATTGTATAATAATAATTGAGGAGAGTAATACTGTAATAATAATTTGTATTTTTATTATTATTAAGTTTTGTTTATAAAATATATATACCATATATGAACATGTTAAAATGGTTAATTAGTAGTAGGTACAGAAGTTATATATATTAACATAGAGCCACTAATATGCAAAATGTTTCAGGCATAACTGAATAAATTTAGTTAACTTAAAAATAAGTTTAATGTGGTAACACAACCCCATGGGGTACTAAACAAAATTAAGTCAAGTTAGGCCTTGCAGTAGGTATATGGTCTTCATTGTGAAGTGAGCTGTGGTGACTACTAGTCCTTAAAATTGGCCAAAACTATGCAAAACTTCTTACAATTAAGTATACAAGAAATTTAATTATTTTGCTATAAATGTTTAATTTATTCCTTGTGTAAGTTTTGGGTCATAATATGGATTTATATCAGACCATTTTGCAGAGAATGATAATGGATTATATTAGGTATAATGATTGTGGCATACCTTGAGGTTACCTTGAGGTGCTTCCGGGGCTTAGCGTCCCCGCGGCCCGGTCGTCGACCAGGCCTCCTGGTTGCCGGACTGATCAACCAGGCTGTTGGACGCGGCTGCTCGCAGCCTGACGTACGAGTCACAGCCTGGTTGATCAGGTATCCTTTGGAGGTGCTTATCCAGTTCTCTCTTGAACACTGTGAGGGGTCGGCCAGTTATGCCCCTTATGTGTAGTGGAAGCGTGTTGAACAATCTCGGACCTCTGATGTTGATAGAGTTCTCTCTCAGAGTACCAGTTGCACCTCTGTTTTTCAACGGGGGTATTCTGCACATCCTGCCATGTCTTCTGGTCTCATGTGATGTTATTTCTGTGTGCAGGTTTGGGACCAGCCCCTCTACATACAGTAGCATACATACATACAGTATATTGTGATGCCAAATCATATAATCTTGACTTGGAGTGAGAGTGATTGTTTGGTGGTGTGCTATGGTTCAAACCATAACTTAGTTAATAATGCCAGGCCCTGAAATAATTAATTTAACAATAATGATAATACAGTAATCATTATTTATTCATAGGCTATGCAAAGGAATATATTAAGATTGTTATTTAGTAGAAACTTTAATTTATTATATGAAGCCATTATGCATAGCATTTTGGCCATTAACCTTAAAAACTATACTGTATTAACTAAATACAGTAATTTATTTAGGTAACATTTAATACTACACAAGAAGTAAACTAACATACAGTATATCATTTTTTTTATATATATATAATATGTCTTGCTGCTTCCAGGCTGTCGATGACGATGCGGACGAGCCCAACAACAAGGTTCGCTACATTATGGACTCCAGCATTTTCAATCGTAACTTCAGAGTTGATGGTCAGACAGGAGAAATAACTGTGACCCAACAGCTGGCATATCCTCAGGTAATGTGGTGTAGGGTAGATATCAAGGTGAACACACCAATAAATGTGGTGTAGTTACATATGATGATGTATCTCATCACCAGTGATGAAGAAAAATAATTTGTATTAAAATTCCCTTTCTTCTCCATGTCCTGAGATACCCAGTGTGGTAGGTCCTCTATGCTAGGAATAAGATGCCTAATGTTGTCCAAAGATACCAGTATGCTAGGTCCTCTGTGCTAGGAATAGGATGATCTATGTGGTAGGTCTCTTATGCCAGTTATAAAACTTCAGCTGATTTGCTGCTGGACAAATGACAATTTTGTAATGATAAAGTTAATATGAAAACAAGGGATTTAGTTTTGAAATATATTTATGTATGTACAGTATAGAAAGTAGTTTTGAAAGTAGTATATGAATGCATTTGACGTATTTAAACTAATAAGTACATTTATGTTTAAACAGGTATTCATGTTTCATTTTTTTCTTCTTTAACAGATAGCTAAACTTGGAAAAAGGAAAAAGCGAGCATATGATGATGAGGAGGGAATTATCAAGTTCAGTGTCACAGCATATGACCTTGGTAAGTCATATTGGGTCATTAACTAGTCAGGTTTATGCATACTGAACACAGTAAAGGTAGAATAATGCATAAATTATGAAATGCCTCGTGTGAAGGAAGTGGTCTATGTCCTCGGCTCACAATCGAGGAATGTGGCTTCACTCCCCGGACAGGACAGATATCATTGGGCACATTTCCTTTCACATGATTCCTATATTCACCTAGAAATAAAATTCTTATCCAGGAGTTGGGCAACTGTTGTAGGTTGCATCCTGGGGAAGGTTGACCTAGGGGGGGGACCTCAATAAGCCTATGTGTAGTACATGCTTCCTATCCCTGACAACAGGAATAATTTAATTAATTTTGTCAGACAGGAAGCTGTGTATATATATATACTTTAAACTTGTATCGAGTTCCCCTCAAGATTAAACTACTGACCCCAGGATGCAACCCCACAACAGTTGCCTAACTCCAAGGTACCTATAAAATGCTAGGTGAACAATGCATTAGATGAAAGGAAACATGAACAACCATTTCAATCCTGCCCAGGAATAGAACCCGTAATCTATGACTGCGAGTTGAAAATGAATCGATATACTGTATAAATAAGCAAAAGCCCTTCTCTACTCTTTTTATCCACATGAGAAAGAAACCAGCTACTTCCCACTCTTGCCTAATCACTTACCATACATGTTATCAAAGTACATTACTGTATAATCATCATCATTCCAAGAATCTAAGTACACTCAACTAATCTGCCTTTTGGCACATCCTTAAGGTTTTTTGATTTGCATTAACTTGTCAAAGTATAACCACAGATCTTATCAGCTATACTTATAAGGTCCATTTAGGCTGATGTGCTATTTTTACACTAGTCTTCTGCCTCCTTGGACTGGTATTTGCCTTTCTTAGACTGTTCTTCCTACTTAAACTGCTGTTCTGACCCTAACAGGAGTTCCCCAGCTGACTAATAGTGTGCCAGTTCATATCTTCCGTGAGGAGCACGTGGAGCGCTTCATCTCCTTCATATATCCCAAGCCTCCAATTGAAGTTCGCTTTAATAAAGTAAGTGCTAGATGACAAGTCTTAGAAATATAAAAATAGGTTAAAAGAATCTTAGAAAAGAATCTGCCTCTGATAGAACAGGTTTTGGGGAACAAAGAATTGGTATACTGTATTATAGATGTATGCAAAGAAATTTTCAACAGCCCATTGAATTTGTTGTTGAATATAGATAAAAAGCTTAAATAAACTTCTTAAAACTATATACAATATTGACAGCCAAAAGTTATCTGGCTACAGAAATACTACATAAAATAAGAAAGTATGATTGACCAGACCACCAACCAGGCAGCCTGCAGCCTGGTTAGGGACCTGGCCATGGGGACATAGGTCCCCAGAACCAGCACAAGATTCTATTACCCTAGAAAAATATTACAATATTATAAAATTAGTTAAGAGATTTAAGTTTTGACGTATTACTAGAGGAAGAAAAAGAACATGTCATATACTTCCAGATTGATATAGAAAGCATGCTGACCACAATCACCGGAGGGGAGACGGAGATCATGAAGATTGAGGACTACAGCACCAATGACAACAGCAGGTTCCCTGACCCTAATAAGTAAGAGGTGGAGAAAGGGCGAACATGACGTGTGCCATATCACCCCCAAGTCCGTGTGATATAATTGCCGCTCACATCATTACGCTGTATATTTGTGCTTCGTAAACAATGAGTGTGAAATACTTCCAGCTTGCGATTTTTTATTTATTTGTAAAGTTACATGTCCTGTCTTTTGATGTACTCATTACTACACCCTCTGTAAAAAAATGTTGTAATATCGTTCCACCTCACCAATTCATCCGAACACAGTTGACATATTCTCCATTATAATAATATAGCGCTGCTATTCATGGCATTAGTTTTAAACTAATGTTATTAATTGAAGGTTTAAAGTAGATAGAAATATTATTTGGCTTCCAAGTTGAAATACTGCATAGTTATTGTAGATTCTCTAAAACTTGCATACATTTAAATAATGATTAAGCTTCCTGCCTTGCTGTCATGCTTATATTCAATGCAGATTAAAGTCTTCATGTACACAAGGACTAGATACACTAAGAGGTGTACTCGGCTTCTCTGTGTATATACAAAGATAGTTTACTTTTGTCCTGAACTATGTTCAGGGATAAAGTATACTTACCAGTTAGTCAGTAAGCTTTTGTGGTTGCCTAAATAACCCTCCCATGGTTGATAGGCCTAAAACCCAACACCAAGCTAAATAAAGTCTTGGCATATATATTAGTAACTGTCTGCCTTTAGGAAGGTAACGACTTCTAAATAGTTTTAAATGCTCAGTAGTAAACTTTTAATGTGTTAGCTATAGATGTTTAGTTTTACAAGTGTTATAAACACGAGGGACGTGGCCAAGGTGTACTTTAAGCTTGTCTGTGCTTGCTGGAATATTAAAAAAAAAGAATTAAATCTAAAATAAGAATTTATGCTTTTTTTGAGCAGTTAAATTCTAATTATGCACATTGTCTAAAATAATGATGTGTAATGCTTGTGGGAGTTTCAGACTTAAAAGATGATGAATTTTAGGAGAATAATAAATAATATGCAATAATAGGATTTATCAAAAACAAATAATAAAGATATGGATGGCAGCTAACAAAATACAAAATACTTGAGATTTTGAAAGACATAATATCTTGATGTAATTCATTGGGTGATTAGAGGTTTAGGTATGTGATACCACAGTACAGTATATGTAGAATTATTTAAAACTGCTAATCACACACATGCAGCAGCGATAAAATTTAACTTTTTTTAAAAAAAAAATTACCGTTAAACCATATGACTAGATAATTGTTAATCTTCGTACGTACAGTATCTCGTAAAGATTAGATCCATGAGACAACTTGGTTTTCTATAAGTGCTTTCAACTCCAGCATGTAGTGAAATTCCAGAAGAAGAAAAATTAAAAGTAGTAGGTAATATTTGTCTAGCGGCAGCGTTGACTCGCAGGCCATGGCAGTCACTGCACCGGGTGGAGCCCTCAGTATTCTTCTGTCACATGTGTACCCCTTCACCATCTTAAAGAATGTTCAAGCAACAGATTCTAGTAAATATTCACTGAATTGGTGTTGATGACAATGAAAGCATCCTCTTATATACACGAGGAGACCCAGATGAAAGACTGTCAGTGTGTGTTAGCACCTGTGCATGAATGTGTTACACTTACCACCTTTTGATATATTTTTTCAGAGAAGTTGTCCATCTACTGTATCTTAAGTCATATACACTGAGGTCTACCCAGTTTCATGGTGTATATATATATACACAGTTTTTTTTTTTTTTAGTCCAAGACTATGCAGGACTAACTATGCAGCAAGACGTACACTTGTTGGTTGGTCAGTAAGCTCTTGTGGTGGCCATTCTGCACTTCATAGGCCAAATATATTCTATTGAGATGCAGGTATTTTATACAGAGTAGGAGTACATACAGTATTCAGTAACAAATTTGCACCTACTGTTACTAAAAAATACATTGATTTAAATGTATTCAACCTTATGAGCCTCTGGGTTAATTTTATTGCATCAAAATATTGAACATTTGAAGATTTTTTTTTATATATTCCAGTTTTAAGTCTAATTATTAAATGGTCTTATACAATATGCAATTGTTAATAAATGCAATCAAAAATCGACTCATTAAGTCTTGAAGCTGTGAATGTAAACATTTAGCAGACCTTTGCAATCCTCCCCAAAGTTATCAGAGAATAGAGCTGGTTTCTGGCGTGCCTGTACAGTACAGTATATGTATTAAGTTGGAGTTTTTTGTGTTCACTATGCGATAGTTTGAAACTTTTCTGCAACTTCAACCTAATAACCATAGATGTGTGTGATTTTCTTCAAGTGATATTCCACCCCACCCCCCACACCAGAGGTCATGTCCTGTAATGGCTGTCATCTCCGCACTGTCTTCCACCGTGTTCATGCCACAAGTATTGGGCTCCTTAGGCTTGTTTTGATTACTGTTATAGCCAAAAGTTAACATTCTGAATTATCAAAAAAAACATTTAAAATGATGAAGGCTAACAATCTAAATGATCAAAGCTGATATTCTAAAGCATTAGCCACAACTTTTGAAGCTAAAGGATGGCTAAACTGTGTGAGTGTGTGTCAAATTGACTTTGGCAAAAGTATCCAGAACAAGCTTATGTATTAAAAAATGCTAACGTTTTAAACAAAAAAATCCTGAAATTTGAAACACTGATATATTACATTGGGACATTATGTGCCTTTAGACAAATAAAAATAGTTTATGAACTTATTTTTCATTTAATTAAATAACAGCAACTTTTTGAAGAATAGAACTTGAAGTAAATTAGCAACAATGTACATTAATGATTTGACTTGCCTTCCTCTCCCCCTGTATTTACCTACACCTTTCCTGCCCTTCACCTACCCTTCCCCCATCCTGCCCTGCCCTGCCTTCATCTACCCTTCCCCATCCTGCCCTGCCCTTCACCTACCCTTCCTCCATCCTGCCCTGCCCTTCACCTACCCTTCCCCCATCCTGCCCTGCCCTTCACCTACCCTTCCCCCATCCTGCCCTGCCCTTCACCTACCCTTTCCCCATCCTGCCCTGCCCTGCCCTTCACCTACCCTTCCTCCATCCTGCCCTGCCCTGCCTTCATCTACCCTTCCCCCATCCTGCCCTGCCTTCACCTACCCTTCCCTCATCCTGCCCTGCCTTCATCTACCCTTCCCAATCCTGCCCTGCCCTGCCTTCACCTACCCTTCCCTCATCCTGCCCTGCCCTGCCTTCACCTACCCTTCCCCAATCCTGCCCTGCCCTGCCTTCACCTACCCTTCCCTCATCCTGCCCTGCCCTGCCTTCACCTACCCTTCCTCCATCCTGCCCTGCCCTTCACCTACCCTTCCCCCATCCTGCCCTGCCCTTCACCTACCCTTCCCCCATCCTGCCCTGCCCTGCCCTTCACCTACCCTTCCTCCATCCTGCCCTGCCTTCATCTACACTTCCCCATCCTGCCCTGCCCTTCACCTACCCTTCCCCCATCCTGCCCTGCCCTCGCCTACCTTGCCATATTCCCCCACAATGACTATCAGGAGTGTGGTAACAGCACTAGTGAGAAATGATGTCAACACAGTTGTGGACATTGAGAAGATTTTTAACCAGCTCAACAGCACCAGAGCTGTACCCCAAACCGAGGATAAGAAAGAGGTAAGATCTACATTGTGTATTGAAGGCATCTAACTGCCTGCTTTTGATATAATTTGTCCATTTGAAATTCAAATTTAGAGTATAATTTAAATTTGTGTATATGTACTTAATTTGTATTGTTTGTATTCTTACAAATAGCATCCAAAAATAGGGTATCATTCTTAGATATTGGACTTATCTCATATTTTTGGATTTTCATGAGAGGTACTGCTGAGTTGCTTATAAAGTAATTTTTAGCTCATTAGTTTATCTTTTGCAAAAATGTCAGCATATAATGTCTTGGGTCACTTCCTAATTAACATCAGGACACGTACTGCAACTCTGCCATAATAACATGTCAGATATACAAATTCTCATCAAATTATGTTATATGTAAATGCTATGATAATGCATTTTCTGAATGCTATTTTAAATAAATTGTGGTTATAAATGTTGTTATACAGTACAACTTTCAGAAGAGGCCACCAGGTGCACTTTCCACAACCAGACATGTATAGTTACATCCTATACATCTTGTAGATTTAAAGATTTATATATTTTTTTGTATACAGCATGAAGATTGTTGGTTTGTCTCAAACATTTCCCACCTTTTTAATGTTTTACATCAGACTGTGGACTTGGCTGTGCTGGAGGGTCAGCGTCAGGCATATCTGGCATGGGTGGTGGTGCTGTGCGTCTTGCTAGCCATCATCATCATCATCATCGTCTGCTGCTTCTGGCCCATCTGTCCTTTCTACAGGCAGAGGTGAGTTAGAATGTGTAGTTCACTGTGTACATTCACAGTTTTAATAGCCATTTGTGTAAATGTCATGCCGTGTAAATAGTTTTTTTTTTATATACAGAAAGACAAACTGTTGTATATATTGAATTGTAGTTTTGCTTCTGAGGATATGTTCAATTTTACATGAAAGTGTTCAAGCATATTCTAGTTTATATATTCTACATCAGATTTCTTTATCAGCACCTGTAAAATTTAACAGTGCCTGTACTAAGGCCTACCAAACATTTCAGTGTGCACTATGAGGTCAATTAAAAATGTTTAATTATTTTCAGCACATTACTGTAACTGAGAATACTGTACATAACTACTTTAAGGATAGGCCTATTTAGGACAAGAATCCTGTTGTAATCGAATAAATTAATTGCTTTGCACTCCATTATAATATTTGAAATAAATATTTTTCTTCACAGAAAAAAGATGAAGTCAGTTGGAGATGAGAATGCAGATTCCGAGCACGTATCTTACATCAGAGTTGACGAGCGAGGAAATTATCGTGGTTACGAAGAAGAAAGAACTTGGTGGGATTACTTACCCACTTGCTGCACTGATGGGCTCACCTATTTTGGAGTTAGTCGCCCCAAACGAGCTGGTGGACGTCTTGCCTGGAGTGGCGATGAACGTCAGAGGTACTGGCAATTCGGTGGTGGTGGTGAAGGAGCTGCCTTGGATGACCGGATTGTGATGGGCCGCCGTGGTCCTAGGGATATGATTCTTCTGGAGGATTTGGATGAATCTCGTTTGCAGCAGCAGGGTCGAGCTATGAGAGTTGATTCCAGAAACTCTTATAACTCGCAAGATCCCAGACGAACATTTATTATACGGGACCAGCGAGGCAATCCTCGAATTGCAGAATCACTAAGAGAAGGTGATCACTATATCATGGAAGATATTGATAATACGCCACGTAATATGCGTATGGATGATCCAAGGGCCATGCGTATGGATGACCCAAGAATCATGCGTATGGATGACCCTAGAGCTATGCGTATGGACGACCCTAGAACTATGCGCATGGATGACCCAAGAGTCATGCGCATGGATGACCCAAGAGCCATGCGCATGGATGACCCAAGAGCCATGCATATGGATGATCCAAGAGCTATGCACATGGATGACCCAAGAGCCATGCGCATGGATGACCAAAGAAATACTCGCATGGAGGAGCCGCGTGGCCCTCCTGCACAGAATGTCAATGTTGAAAGTGATCCACCTCCACCTGCCCGCCAGGGAAACGTGGAGTACCTCCGACTAAACGCCAGCCCGCACGGCGTCGTGCTCCGCGATGACGGGAGCACGGGCCGTCAAGGTCGCCCAATAAGGCGGTCTGGCGTAGAGCCGGGGGGGATAATGTTAACTCAGGAGGAGATGCAGAGACGGGCACTCATGCACGAGGACGCAGGGGGCGGGGATATCAGCGGTCGCCACGTGGAGGGGCAGTCGGTCGGCGTGACACCACGCTCGGACAGAGAGGTAATATACGAGGATGGGAGAGGATTCGCCCACGGGTCAGTGAGATATCTGCACAGCAGAAGTCCTCCCCAAGCAGATGTCCAAATACAAACAGAGGACATGAGCGGGGGGCGAGGCGATCACACGGTGCCTCGACTGAGAATAAGAACGCCAATAGAAGAAGAAACAAACAGCTTGCTAGAGGCAGAAGAAACACGATCATCACGGAGAGAGCAACAGAGGGCCAGACACAGTTCTCAAGTGGAAGTGGAACCTACAGTACACGAAGACAGCATCAGTCGACGCTCAATGAGGTCTCCTCCCAACTCGCTGTACCAGCATACAAAATCTTCAATTCTTCGTTTCGAGACCACCAAAGCCAAAATGGACGAGGATCCTCAGAGGAAAGAATCTACTCTTTCCCGCCACAACAGTATGAGTGCAACAGATGGTCGCCGGAGTTCCAGTGTAGAGAGCAGGAGTATCGATGGAAGGCGGTCCATCAGCCAAGTCAATCTCGAGGGCAGACGATCCAACAGCCAAGCAGCTTTAGATGGGAGACGTTCCCACAGTCAAGCAACCTTGGATACGAGTCGAGGCGCCCAAGCAGACAGCCGAGCCAGCCTCGAGAGGCATGGCTCACTCCCCAGCTTGGAGACAGGGTTAGAACGCGAAGCAGCCAGGCGATCAGTCAGCCGACGTGGGTCTCTAGGCCATCAAGATCTACTGGACGATCCCTTACCAGCCGCAGATGGTAAGAGCAGTTATAATAGTGAGTATGAAGATGATAATGAAGATGATAGAAATGGGAGCAGAAGACATAGAAGCACTTCACAGGCACGCTACATGGAATGGTATGACAAAAAGGGTGACAGAGGAAAGGACTCAAAAGATGGAGGAAGGAGATCAGGAGATGCTGAAGAGTCAGAATACACTCTGGACTCTACAGAAGGGGCCAGCAGAACGATAGAGGGCAGGGACAGAAGAGTCCATCGTTCACAAGCAAGAGAAAACATGCTAGATGATGGAACTTTGAAGGTCATAGAACCACGGGAGGCTGGGGAAGGTTCAGAGACCCAGAGCCACATCATATCAGAGATTCCTATCGATTCAACAGGACCATCAAGAAGTCCTGCAATACCAGTCTCATTAAAGACTCATGAAGGTGAAGATGAACTACGCACCATCATGGACAGTGAAATCAACCTAGGGGTAAGTCAAAGTTCACAGTTGTTTGATAGTGACGTTGATCTCGAGGCAGTTGCAGCAGCAAGGGGAAGGCGCAAGAGGAACCACTTACTTGAAAAGAAAAGTATATTTACTATCGCTTATGATGATATGCAGACGGAACAGCTGCGACCAGAGTCAGCTGCGGCTGAACCTTAAACATGGGCAGTTTTGCTTTGGTGTTAGTGCAAATAAAAGGATATTAATTACTTTGGCTAATTAAGATCCTTGATAAAGTGTCTTTGTAACTTTGTGATATGATACTGTACTCTCGTCATTCATGCTTATTTTCTAAATATTTGGAACATTTTTTTACGTGACAACTTCCATGAGTGGTTTTGGAAACTGGACTTTTACCCAGAGAGAGACTTGTTTGAAATCCAAAATAGATATCTGCATGTCATGGAATTGTGATTTGTGTTTCTCTGTTGACAAATTTGAGCAATGTGGTGTAGTGAGGACAATGAAAATTTTTACCCTAAATGTTCACATTATAAATTACTATAAAAAGTGCACAAGACATTTGGTATTACAGGTCTGTACTAACTAGATATTTTTAGGGTCATTTACCTGAATTTATCAGAGTGACACCATCTATACTGGCCTCAATGAGGACAGAAATTTGTGTTTCTCTGTTTCTTCACCATAATTTGGGTCACCGTTTATCATTGGTTTTCAACTGCTGGTCCACAAGCCACTGATCTGCTTTCCAGTGTGTAATGATCCAAGGTTGCTCTAGTGGTTAGAGAAACCTCAGAATGTACAAGCAATGATATTGCTTTCACCAATGTCTCGCTCGTTTACCCCTTGTATTTGGGCTATAGTTTGCCAAGTTGTTTATAACAAATATGCCCCCTTGGTTGGTTACCCAGTCTTTGGCTGATGGGCGGATGCTGTAGGCCAGTTATTACTGGGTTAGCTGCCTAGAGGCATGCATGAGGTGGTATTGTTTACAATGGCTCTGATGAGACTAATACAGTATTCTCCAGTTTATTCCAATGTCAGTAATGTTTTAGTCATTAATCAGGAGGGAAACTGGGTGGGTGGAATAAACTGGCAGGCAGGAGGGGTAGAGCAAGCTAGATGGCCAGCCCATCCTCTTGAGCATTCACAACACTAAACTGATGTACTAAATTGCCTGAACCTAACCAAGGTCCCACTAATAGAAAATGGGGCATCATTTAAATTTTGTGAGCCATTCTAATTTTAAGTATATCAGTTTTTGGCTTTAGGGAACTTGTCAAAATGTGATGTACTATTCAAGAGGATGGGTTGAGATGGCTGGCTGGTGGGGGAGAAGGGTGGACCAGGCAGAAGGGGGTAGGCAAAAGAACTGACGACATTGGTAGCTGACAGGAAGGGGAGCTGGCTGGCTGGCTGGTAAGCAGGCACAGTGGGGCTGGCTGGTGTGGAGGCAGGAGGATTGGGTGGGAAGCCGGCAAGTAGGCTAAATGGATTGCTGGCTGGCAGGTGGACTATAGCGCTGGCGAGCGGGATGAATGGGTTGCTGGTGGGAGAAAAAAAGATTTAAATAGGTGGATGGGCAGCCACTAGACAATGAAATGGCTTACATGAAAATCATAAAAACTATAACGAGATCTACTCTCTCAGAAAACTTATAAATATCCTCCCCATCCCTCTGTACACTTCCTCATGGGGTACACGAGGGAGTGTACCCCACAAGGTACACTCCCTCGCTCTCTCTCCACTCTTGATTAACCCACCTATCATTAATGCCCCTTCCATCCCCCACCCCAAATGTTGGGAAGGGTAATCCCTTGCCAATATTTTGCTGCTTGCAACTTTATGGGTAGCCCACCCTCTTAAAATAGGCTGGGCTACTTTGAGAAGCATGGCTGACACTGATAATGATGCTGATAATTTTGAAGAGTTTGTAACAGATGCAAGTGAAAGAGTAGAATTAAGAAAAGAACAGTGTGAACATGTGAACAGAATAACTAAGAAAAAGAGGCAGGAAGTGATAGACATGTATAAACTTTTTTGATGAAGTTGTAGTACTGTACTGTACTGGTATTAGCACCCATATATGTACAGTACTGTAATGTATTTTCCCTTTCGTTAATACAGTATCGTATAGTATATATTTGTACACTAACCTAACCATGTTATTAAAAATAATACAAGATGGAAATGATCAAGATAAAATGGAAAGTATCTTATAACACAGAGTACTATAAGACGGGACACCACATGTGAGCTACGCTTGTAGCTCACACACACAGGTTATTTAACACAAGGGGCACACGCACTAGGGGACACAGGTGGAAACCGAGTGCCCAAATGAGCCACAGATATATTAGAAAGAACATTTTAGTGTCAGAGTGGTTGACAAATGGAATGCATTAGGAAGTGATGTGGTGGAGGCTGACTCCATACACAGTTTCAAGTGTAGATATGATAGAGCTCGGTAACCTGTACACCTGTTGATTGACGGTTGAGAGGTGGGACCAAAGAGCCAGAGCTCAACCCCCACAAGCACAACTAGGTGAGTACACATACACACAGGTGCCTTGAAACACGTACACACTAAAGCACCCTTGGTACATAGAGTATACACACCTGTAGTCCATGGACCATCAGTTGAGAACCATGCCCCTAAACAACATACCCTGCACAGGTTGCAAAATAAATGTTAATTCTAGTGTAACAGCAAAGAAGTATATAAGCCATATTTTTATAGAACTATTTATTACATGCATATTTTTCTTCAGTTTTCATTTAAATCTTTGATAAATATTTGTAACATGTTATAAATCTGCAGTAAGCATGTAGGCAGATGGAAAAAACAAAAGTAACTGAATGAAAAAAAAAGTATTTTGGGATGTCATTGATGGTCCGAGAGTCATCTATAGAGAGGTTTAGGAATGTTGAGAATGTCTCTCACATGTTGAGAGTTGTACCAACAGATCAGCCTTTTCAGTACTAGCAGGTTAAAAACTAAAAAGAGTGTGACCTAAATGATCCTGGTCATCAATTGGCCTTAAACCATAAGACCTACCATTACCCTAAATGTATTTAAGGTTTAGTGATGTGTTGTGGGATTTTGTGTTCCATCTGTTGTGAAGTTAAGCTGCCTCGAGCTCAGAGATGTATTGGCAAGGGTTATCTCATCTTGAGGTTATCTTGAGATGATTTCAGGGCTTTAGTGTCCCCACGGCCCGGTCAATACAATAGGGTTTTTGCCAATACATGGCAGAAAATGGAACGTTTGGTGCTGAATGGGTTACCTTCAAATACATTGTGTACACCTTTATATACATTATGCACATACCTTGTCATTGTGTGCACATTTAATATTGCATACACCTCCCTTGTCATTTTTGTACACTTCCCTTATGTCATTGCTTCTGTCCAGATATTCTATAAGCCAACATTCAACAGTTTTTTTTTATTTAGCTACCAAATTGTGGGATTAAAAGCTGGTATTGAATGCAGCTAGCTATATGGCTGAACTAAAGATCATGTGATGAACATGCCAGATTCACAGCTAACGTTACCTAATCAATTAATTCAATCGATTCATTGTATTTATTTTAATTTAAAAATTTACAGTATAAAGTGTCTAAACTGTAATACCTATACTTCTAATAATTATCCTGTACCCACCAAGTTCCAGTGTAAAGGAACTGGAACTTGTTCTGTTCTGAACTTATATGATGAACTATATTGTTCATCATACAATGTGATGTATGATGAATATCATTTATTAAAGATAGGAAAAGTATGCAATTTCTGTGTAAAGCTTGCAAGGGCAGGGGGGGATGAATTTTTCAACACATTCAGCTAGAACATGAATTGTTGAGTACTGTAGAAGTAAAATTGTTAAGATGATAATATTGACCAACTCTTATCAATAAAATGTTCAACAATATTAGTTGAAGAATAAACGAGGCAGCAAGTTTGAGGCCGCTATATCTGAAACATTATGATAATAAGCAGGATCAGTGAGGATCCAGTTCTCACCCCTCACAGTGTTCGAGAGAACTGGATAAGCACCTCCAAAGGATACCTGATCAACCAGGCTGTGACTCATATGTCAGGTTGCAAGCAGCTGCGTCCAACAGCCTAGTTGATCAGTCCAGCAACCAGGAGGCCTGGTCGACGACCGGGCCGCGGGGATGCTAAGCCCCGAAAGCACCTCACCTCAAGGTATCATATGTATATGGGCTCTAACCTTGTAATTATCTTTGATGGTTTTGACATAGATCTTGTGTTGTTCCAGGCTGATGATAATACTGTACTGGCCTTGTCCCCAATTCGGTAGCTGAATTTCATTTTGCTCATAGATTACAAATTTCGTATTCCTATGCATGTTGACCTCGCCAACATTTTCAATAATTATCTTCCTCTCTATGTTCTCCCACATTTTTTTTAATTTGCTCCTTTTAGTTAATTATTTCATCTTGATAATTCAATTCGTATCACTCGATTATGTAAAAACTTCATCATAGAAATGTAAGTCAAGCTCATCATTCATACCTTAGCCATTACCCATAAAGGATAATCCTCCAAATCAGGCATGTCAAACATGCGGCCCTTTCCAAGCACACCTGAGGCCCGCACATACCTTCCTGAAAAGTTTAAAAACTTCAGAAAGTTTGCCACAAGGATTATGGCAATGTTTAGACACACACCTGTGTGTGTAAACAGTTATTTTCCTTCATGAAATCAACTAAAACTTCTCGGAGAACAAGGCTAACTGATCAACACCTGTCATTTCCGATCAAAGTGGGAACTGCACAGACATTTCAGCCAGACAGCAAAAAATTATCATTGAAAAGGTGCCAAGCCTCAGGGCTAAATGCTAACAATGATTGAATAGTCATAAATAAATGTTAATTTTGGACTATTGCAATTTTTGTACAATGTATTTGTTGCTGTTGCAGAGAAGTCTATGTTGCTGTTTAAAAAAAAAAAAAAATTAAACTACTGTACTTCATTACTTTGCATTCATGAATGTGGCTGGCCGCTAAACTATTTGTATGCACATTGTACGTTTGTAAGTAATAAAAAACATGCTGCAATAATTTGTATTCAATGACTTCAATTAGTTGTCATGTGTGACTCTCATGACAAGACAAATGTGACCCATATGGCCCCTCTGGGGACCCTCAGTTTGACATGCCTGCTCTTAATTATATTCCAAACTTCATTATTAATTTATTTTTAACACCCTAATAGATTATCTTATCCAGGTACAAATTAGCCATAGAAATTAGTTGGTAATCATATGAAAGGTTTAATAATAAAAATTATAAATATATTAGGATGTGGGTCCACTCATCTCCATCAAAGTATCTCCTGGTGGTTTGTGATCCAGCAGTGAGACTTGTGCATGAAGACTTGCTTGTTGAGATATGAGACTCGGATGAGGCATGTATAATTATGTAAATATATATGTATATTGTAAACTAATATAGGCAAATTGTCAGTTTCCTCACACATTGCAATGTTCTTATGATAGACCCCAAGTCAGGCGAGGTGACTCTGTGATCAGCTGTAAACGTCCATCTTTCTAAATACAATATTGTGCAAGATATTTGTTTGTTATTGAATCCTTGCCTGCATAAAATGTGGCTTTCACAACATAACCAGCAGATTTTTTTTCCAAATATAGATGTCACTTTTCCTTAAACTAGTATTTTCACTGCTGAACTGTGTTTAATTGTATATTCTTAAGTTGATACTTTATTATTTTTATTTTATTTTATTTTATTTATTTTATTTATATATATACAAGAAGGTACATTGGGTTTGTGAGAATACATTGGATAGTACAGTATTTACATTCTTGTAAAGCCACTAGTACGCACAGCGTTTCGGGCAGGTCCTTAATCTAGCAGATAATTTTAAGTAGGTAATTTCAATCAGAATTGATAAATGATAAAGATACATTACAAGAGAAAAATGAGATGAGAGAGATAAGTAGGTATATTAAAGCACATTGTTATATTAAAGCTCTGATTAATTACATTGACAGCTTGATTAGTAATTTAAACAAGGTTAATAGACACCATACAGCAGATTGACAGCACGTATAAGACAGCAATGATCACAATGGTAAAGATGTTCAGATTGGGTACATAAAGATTGGGAGACTGGGTAGCAAAAGATACAGATAAACAAGATTTATAAACACCATACAACAGATTGGCAGCACATATAAGAAAACAGCAATGATCACAATGGTAAAGATGCTCAAATTGGGAACATAAAGGTTGGGAGATTGGGTAGCAATTGATACAGTGCAATTTTAAGGCAAAAAGTGAAAAACTATGAAGATGAAATTAGGTACTTTTTAGTATTGATTTTGAATGATGTAAAAGTTGGACAGCTTTTCAATTCAGTAGGGAGTGAGTTCCATAAACTGGGTCCCTTTATTTGCATTGAGTGTTTACACAGATTAAGTTTAACTGGGGATATCAAAGAGATATTTATTTCTGGTGTGGTGATAATGAGTCCTATTACATCTGTCCAAGAAGAGTTTCAGACAAGGATTTGCATTTAAGAACAGGGTTTTGTAAATGTAGTTGACACAAGAGAATTTGTGGAGTGAGATTATGTTTAGCATGTTTAGGGAGTTAAACAAGGGGGCTGTGTGTTGTCTGAAAGCAGAATTTGATATTATTCTGATAGCAGATTTTTGCTGGGTGATGATGGACTTGAGGTGGTTTGCAGTGGTTGAACCCCATGCATAGATACCATAGTTGAGATAGGGATAGATTAGTGCATAATATAGAGAGATGAGAGCAGAGTTAGGGACATAATATCTGATTTTGGAGAGTATACCAACTGTTTTAGAGACTTTCTTAGTTATGTGTTGTATGTGGGTACTGAAGTTGAGTCTCTTGTCTAGGAATATGCCAAGAAACTTTCCATCATTTTTATTGCTAATGTTTACATTGTCAATCTGAAGCTGAATTGCATTTGTAGATTTGCTTCCAAATAGGATGTAGTAGGTCTTTTCTATGTTAAGTGTTAGTTTGTTGGTTGACATCCATAAGTGGACTTTTTTTAGTTCATTATTAACAACACCATTTAGTGTATGTGGGTTGGGGTTGGAGTAGATGAGGGTAGTATCATCAGCAAACAAAATAGGTTTCAGAATGTTAGAGACATTAGGCAGATCATTAATGTATATAAGAAAAAGAAGAGGTCCCAAGATGCTGCCCTAAATGCCATTTAGCAAATGCCACTAAAGCCACTAATGCAAATGCCACTAAAGCAAATGCCATTTATTATTATTGTAGACTATGAGCAGTTTACTGGTTATTGAATCTTAAAAGCATCAATCTTTTTAAACCCAATATTGACTGCATTTCAATTAAAAATAAGTGATAA